CTTTCTATGATGTCAATGTCTATCCGTCGTCGTCGAAGAAGAGTCAGACGAAGAATAATCTCGTCGATGTCGACGCTGATGCTTCTTTCGCCTTGGCTCATAGCGATCGGAGTCGTCCAATTGATCTCAGTGTCGACATCGAGATGTTCTTGGAAGTACTATCACCTCATGGTGTGGAGGTCTACATCAATCAGGCAAAGAGTGTTTGGGCTTGGAGGGCGTTGGTGAAGAGACGCCCATAGATGGTATTGGCTCAGCTTGTTGAGGAGGGAGCGATAAAGCTGCCTTGGACAGCAATTCACGGTCCCTGGAGGAGTCTTCTAAAATGGGAGAAGGCAACAATGCAGAAATAGGTGGTAGTTGCTTATGATGGTCCTTGGTCTTAATCGGAGCCTTTGTTTTCATCTGTTTTGTAGATTTAGAAGAAGTGGTTGAGGGAGCCTTCGACGTCGAAGCGGATTTTTTCACCAGAGCTGACTTTTTAGGTGGTTTATCAGAAGTCTTGATGAGAGAAGGTTGAGGTGAGGCATCAGCGACCAAATGGGGGGTGGCGGAGGGCGAAGTGGTCTCCATTTCTGAAGATTTAGAGGAAGATTGAGATGGTATTTAAGTCTTTGCTGTCTTGCCTTTAGAGCCGCTTTAGTAAAACTCTTACAGTGCTTGCAAGACTGAGAAAGATGGGCTTCTCCTAAACAAAAAAGACAGTGATCATGCCCGCCATGGAAAGGGAGTTTTCTGGAACAGGCAACGCACCAGCTGAAGGGGCCAGAGCGTGACATATACCAAAAGAGCAATCTGTCCACTAAAATTGAGCTGTGGGGCGAAAAGAGAAGGGCGGGAAGTCCGAAGCAACCAAAATGGCGGGAAGAGGCTGTAAGCGAAATCCAAAGGGACGATCCGCGTCGGGGCAACAGAGAGTCCGCGTCCAAAAACCAATATAATCAGTCAAAAAAGAGGATAATTTTGTGAGCTCGATGCAAGAGGTTCCACTTCGCTCGGTGGAAAAATGGAACTGAGGCTTTGGCGGGCGGAGCATGTGCAGTAGGGGCAAACTAAACTTTGCTACTTTTCTATTCAAAGCTCGAGAATATTCAGAGAGGTCCAGCCCAGGCGCTGACTTAACCCTTTTGTGTCCATTCACAGAGCTGAAGAACTATGCTTTATGAGGAATGACAGTAGGAGTGGAGTGTGGTTAGCCTGGACAAGACAAGACTAAGGAGCAATATAATAGCTATTTTCAAAAATCTGTATAGTAATCTATAGTTGGGTAGGATCTGAAGTAGTGGATTCAAATTATGAGAAAAATTTCTTCGCCTAAACATGAAACACATTTTGACCACAGGAGCTGTTTGACAGTAGAATGGACTACCCCAGAGATTGGTGGAATCTTTCAGAAATGCTTTAACTGTGGTTTTCCTGCTTTGTCAGGGAGTTGGACTCTTGAAGTCCCTTCCAGGTCTTCTGTTCTAGGATTCCATGGCTCTTCTGACTTCCTAATCTAGTCCTTTGGTCCAGATAGCCACATTCCCTTCATAACATGAGTATTTTCAGTTTCCTAGCTTTTTCACACTATGGTAGACTAGAGGGTCAGGGAGGGGGAGTTGCCATTATTTATAAAAATACCTTAGACACTGCCAGGCTCTCTGCTTTGGCAATCCCAAGCCTAGAGGCCCTCCACATGTTGGTGGGGACCAGGGATGAATTTGGGATGTCGGTGGCAACGTTGAGGTTCCCCAGGCTCCTTGTTCTGGGGGACTTCAACATCCATGCTGAGATGGAGACCACTGATCCAGCTCTTGCGTTCTTGGAAACCATGGCTTCCTTGGACATCTCCCAGCATATTAACGGCCCCACCCACATGGTGGGGCACATGCTAGACCAGGTGTTTTCCTGTTGATGTTCTTGGTGGATGGATGGTATGCTGCCACTACCAGGGCTGTTGATATGATCACACCCAAATGCTCCTTCCATTGCCAAGCCCTCCCAGCTCCCCGGTATAACCAACAATTGCAGGCAATGAAGCAGAACAGGAGGAACTGGAGAGCATCTGGAACCCTAATGTAAAAGCCGCAAAAATCATGTCAAGCATCTACTTAGCTAAGGTGAAGGCCACTAGGAGAACACACTTCGCTATCCAGATATGTGAAGCTCAAAACCACCAACTTGAACTTTTTTGTATAGTACATGATTTATCTCGGATTGGTCACAGTGATAGGCCTCCCAGTACTATTTCATGTGACCAATTTGCGGCCTTTTAAAACCATAAAGTGGAGGCCATCCGCCGGGAGCTTCTTCTCCAGTAGACTGAGCCGAGACGTCCACTGCACCACCTTACTCAATGAGTTTAACAGTTTCAGCCTGTAACATCGGTAGAGGATGACAGGGTGCTTGACTGCTGTAGGGCCACCGTAACCTCTCTAGATCCTTGCCTGGCCTGGCTCATAAAAGCAGCAAGGCCTGTAACAACAGAATAGGCCACGGCTATTATTAATGGGTCTCTCCTTGAAGGCAGGGTTCCCTAAGCCCTCAAGGAGACACTTATTAAGCCTATTCATAAAAAAACCTAACTTGGCAGCAAACAATATTAACAACTATCAACTTATTGCCAATGTTCTCCTCCTTAGCAAGCTAGTGGAGAGAGTGGTGGCCAATCAGCTTGAGGCACTCCTGGAGGAGACTGATGCCCTTGATCCATTCCAGTCTGGTTTAATGGCATGGAGATGACATTGTTCACCCTGCAAGATGACATTTTGAGGGAGACTGACGGGGTAAAATGTACTTGTTGGTCCTCCTCGACCTATCAACGGCTTTCGATACCATCAACCATGGTATTCTCCTGGACTGGCTCTCTGGGTTGGGGATTTGTGGCCTGGGCCTGGCTCTTGTCCTTCCTTGAGGTCTGTACTCAGATAGTACAGCTTGGCAAGATGATGTCCACCCCTTGGACTCTTAATTGTGGAGTCCTTCAGGGGTTGATCATCTCCTAAATATGAGGCCCCTGGGGAAGGTCATTAGGAGTTCTGGAGCTTCATGTCACCAATATGCAGATTACACCTAGTCCTATGCTGTTCCATTCCTTGAGCGCTGCCTCGACATCATGCTGGGGTGGATGAGGGATAATTGAGACTGAACCTGGGAAAGATGGAGATCCTATGGATGGGTACCCCTAGGTTTGTGGGTGCCTCTCTCTCCTTTGGAGGGGCTACTCTCTCTGCTAAGGATGATGTTTGCAGGTTGAGTGTACTCCTGGATCCAGCGCTGTCCATGGAGCCTTAGATAGCGTCTGTGGTCCACTACGCCTATTTCCATCTAAGCGGATTGCCCAGCTACATTCCTACCTTGACACTAGGTCCCTCACCATGCTGGTTCATGCACTGATAGTCTCAAGATTAGACTACTGCAATGCTCTCTATATGGGGCTGCCCATGAGGCTGCTATGGAAACTGCATCAAGTCCAGAGTATGTAAAGAAATATCAACGTATTTCTCCCACCCTGGGCATCCTGCACTGGTTACCTGTCTGTTTCCATGCCAGCTTCAAGGTGATGGTGCTAATTTATAAGGCCCTAAATGGTTTGGGACTTCAATACCTGACAGAATGCCTTCTCCTGATGAGATCAGCCTGCCCCATACAATCTTCCCAGGCCAGGCAGTTGACAGTATTGACCCCGAGAGAGGTCTAGAAAGAGAGGACCAGAAACTGAGCCTTCTCGGCTGTCGCTCCTCAACTTTGGGATAACCTCCCATCCAAAGTTTGCCTGGCCCCTTTACTGGGAATTTTCAAACTATTGTTAAAAACATGTTTTTTCGACAAGCCTTCCTGGACCTTATAACACCTTAATACAGTGATTGGTCTTAACATTTATTAGTCTTGCTGTCTTGCTTTTATATTATTTTATGTTCTTTTAATTATTATTACTTAGATTTGTTAGTTGTTTGTGCTTATTTTGATTTTATAACTACTACATTTATTATTTTGAATTGTTCCTTGTTTAATATGTAAACCACCCAGAGTGGCCTTGGCAGCCAGATGGGCAATATAGAAGTCAAATAAATAAATAAATAAATAAATAAATAAATAAATAAATAAATAAATAAATATTGTATGGTTTTATCCCTTTTCTAAATTATTGAAATGTCCCTCCTACGTATCATTTACTGACCTTAAAAGTTTAAAGTTAAAATACACTAACACTTTTGTTCTTACCCACTAATTAAAAAGGGCTCTCAGAAATTCTTTAACATGGCCAAGGGTGCACAAATATTTGGGTGTGCAGTTAGTTTTCTCTCCCATGACCTTTCCACACTTTAGTTATGCTCATGGTGCAGGCAAGTGTCTACCTGGGATTTATTCCTGCCAGACATAGGCCTACATCAGTGTCCCACCAATCCCCTACTGGCATGTTTCTACTTGTCATGTACTTATCTATGGTCCACCTCCCATTTATTTATCTGACTATTCAGCAATGGCACAAATGTGAATGTTTCATCTACCTACCTAGGAATATGACAAGCAATAAAAATAATGGCATTCTCCTTATTACTTAAAGTGCTACTCTGAAACAGCCAGAGCTGCATAAGTGGAAAGTAACAGTACATTTTATTGTGCAATAAAAGGGATCCTTTACAATGTCAAATCAGGTCATGTCACTTTCAGCAGGGCACGTCTACAGAGCTGCATGAGCCTTCCAAGCCAATATGACCTTTTCACCGCACACATGTAATAAGGATTGCCTGGCCCACTGCACCATTGTCACAGCCACACTTCTACTGTCAAGAATTACCCTGTTACTACTATGGCTGGTTGCTGAAGTCTGCCTCTGTATGGTGAAGGTTAGCCTGATAATGAGGACTTTCTCTAGAACACAAAAAAGGAAAGAATCTTCATTAGAATCTAACGCTTTGCACAGGTGGAACAGAATTTTTTGGGCAGTAGCACTTACAACAAAAAAGGACATCTAGCCAACCAGAGACCCACACTCCTTGAATTATCATATTTACATGTTTTCGGAAGAGATCTGCATGGGGTCCCAGCTGGGGATCAGCTTCCTTCACAAACTGCATGACGTCTTCCACTCTCCAAGCAGAAGGGTCCCGGGTGCCCAACCGTGAGGTGTCTCGAGAACCAAGGTATCTATCTGACCCTAAAATGGCAAATATAATCTTATATTTTCATGCAGAAAAAGTACATTGGTCTATACTAAAGATATTTCCAGGTAGTATTTTATAAAAGATTGCCACTTTTGGTCAATGTTACTGTTCAATTTATACTGAACACTTCTACATGATCAATATGATGGAAGGAAGGGATCAATTGCTTTTCCTCTCATATTGAGGAAAATAATACCATAAAACATGGAGCAACACATGGGAAACACTGATGCACCAGGACAATAATCTGTATAATGGTGAGACTAAATACATAATTCCAAGGAGTTCATGGACTACACAATTGCTTCAGGGAGGGAGGATAGAAGCAATATTAAAGAAGACAGATTCCTCTTTTTAATTGAAGCAACAAGATGTGCACTAATGAAATGGAAAGAACAGGGTCAACATTAAGCAGCACCTCTTCTCAAACTTAGATTACCAGATTTAAAGGAAAACTAACAACCATTCTAACATACACTTTTATTGACACAGTCTGCTTTATCAGATGCATGAAGCATTACCTCAAATTGGCAAATTTACATCTATATGTGTGGTGGAAGATGGGAATTGTAAACAGTGAGGGCAGAGGGATTTGAAATGCAGGAACTTACAATTAGTTTTTACTACCTGTTGGGACAGTAGCTGGGACAGTAACACAGACATTGTTGCATTTGCAACATTGTCCAATTATCCTTCTCCTTCCTATAAATATTTTTGGTTAAACACTTTAAAATGAACAAACCTAGAAGCTGTGCAACAGATTTAGGGATATATATCTGTCTCTCCAGCCATCCACATGGCCAACTAGAATGTAGGGAGGCTGTATGAGGAAGTAGGACTTCCTCAGCCCAAGATTTACTCAACTTCCAAACATGTCTTGTTCCTCTTTCTTGTTCATAACACTGAAAATACAAGACTGAAACTAAAAATGCTTTACAGAGAAATTGTTTTAGCTGTCTTACCCCCAGCACTAAGCCTATGCAAGACAGAGATACCACATTGAGTGAGGCTTGAGGGCTGGTGAAGGTGCCTGTATCCCTGAAGTCTGTAGTCTCTTGAGTTCCTGCTGGGACTGGATGCACTGACAGCATTCAAGGCAGAATCCATAGGGTCCAGGAGAGGTTCCAAAGGACCTGGGAGGCCATCATTAAAAATGAAAGTTTCACCTGGAACACACACAATCCACAAGTGAGAGATGCACCAATGCTAGGTACAATGCTGCTGTAGGCACAGACCTGTGAGCCAATCAGCAGTAAGAGCCAGGTTTCACCCAGTTAGAAAGGAAGCAGGGGTGCATGGGTGGGACATCCATTGAAGTGTTCACTTTCACTCACAACTGAGAAATAATTCTTTTGGAACGACTTTTCTAATATACCAGCACAAGTTCAAACTCTGTAAATTATGCTTCATATTTCATTCTCATTATTTATGTTTGCCCTTAAACAGAAATCTAGCTATGCAGACTTTTGGGAGCTCTTCTGAGTCTCTTTTCATGCAGGCCAACATAAGGGTGAGGCTCACAAACTTTGTTTTTATTAGCAATCTGAGAATTTGCTTCGGCTTGGGAAGGAATAATGATTCAGATTAACTCTACTTCTGTCAACATCTCTCAGCTGCCTGAAAAGGCTAATGGTGAATTCATCATGCCAGTGCTTCTTTTCTCCTCTTTCCTGCACCACTTAATACTAAAAATGCTTTACAGAGAGTGAGAGTGAGAGTAAGAGTGAGTTTAGACATTCTTGTAACCATGTCTAGGTGTTTCCTTATGCTCAGTTTCTAACTGTTTGGAAGTATATACATACTCAGTTATATCGTTTCATTTCTTCCTGCTGTTAGGAAGGAAAGCATGTATGATGGAGAAACCATATGTGGACTATATCTAACCCTCATTCAAAGAACAGTGAGAAAAGATATTGCCTCCTCCATTGCAGTCATTTGCTTCCTTTATGGAGAATGAGTAAAATAAGTAATGAAACCCACAATCACTATTATTGGTTAGTCTCACAAGGACAGGAGAGAATAGGGTTCACCCTATTACCATGCAGGACCTAATTTTAAATACAATGGAACCGCATAGAGGAAGTATGGGAAGGTCCAAAGGAATGGAGAGAGGAGTAATGATAGACAGTCTGGAAAAATTGTTAGATTGTTTACTTATGTGATTTCCCTTTTTAATATAATTAAGTAAGTACTCTTTTGCTCTCTGGAATTTTACCTTTCTCCCATCCTTACTTATTTCCCCGTACCCACACCCAACTCTTATCCTTAATGAAATGAATTTTTTAAAAAACAGAACAGCCAGCCTGAAAATGAGTTAGAGTTATGTGGAACCTAAAATCTTGCTCACCACTTTGTGAAATTTTAATAATTATATGCTGTTGATTCTAACTTCTGAGGACATTGCTATTAGTAAAAAAGAAATGCTACAAGGTGATTTTTAGCCATTTAAAAAGGTGCCATAGCCCACTGCCTTTGAAGCCACTGATGAAAAAAAGAAAAAGAAAAGGGTATGGAAACTGGAATTTTTTATGAGCGGCTGACTCAGAGTTATACTAAACAAAATAGAGGAACTCTGTAGCAATATTGTCTTTTTGCCACAAAAGTGGATATATGACCTTGTGCAGATTGTCATGGCACATGTGAATTATGAGGATCTGAGTGGCTGAACTATGGCATCAACTTTAAATGGCCCAAACAGATGCAGTGTGTTGGTAAATCATAGCATGAGATTATGTTCAATATTCACCAATGTGGTCCATCAAAACAGTCCTCCATGATACAAAATTTCTTATTCAGATCTTACAATCTAACTTTTGATCAGTCCATATAACGGAGCAGATAAATAAATCCACCCTTTTCACTAAAACAGTGCAGTGACACTTTTCAACATTTGGAATTACGAATATGTGCCAATTACATGGATCCTAAAAGTAGCTTCTGCTCTGTACAAGGTTACAAACACGTTTCCTTTTATAGGGCCACTGCTGGGGCTGAAGATCAACTCCTTAACTTCTTGCAGTTTTGATGCTGCTAGAACATATAGATACACTAGTGTGGTGTAGTGGATAGTGGCAGATTCAGGATGCCTGGGATTGAATCTCTGCTCAGCCATGGAAAATCACTTGTGGTGTGGAATTGGTAAAGCCACTCCTTAAATATCTCACTTACCTTAAAAGTCCTATTAGATTTGTTATACATCACTTCCAGATTGATAGCATATAGCAACAAGCAAATATGAATTTAATTCTTTTTAAAAAACCCACTGATTTATGAATATGGAATATTGTGCTTCTGTACCCGCAACTCAAAATGCCAGGAAATGGCCCACTATTGCTGCACGATATTGTTACTGCATTGCCAGCAGAAAAAAGAATGTCAAGTTTTACATAGTAAAAGATATCCTGAATATTGACAATACCAATGGTAGCAGTCAAGATGGTCTACAGCAGAGGTCCCCAACCCCCGGTCCGCGGCCCAGTGCCGGTCTGTGGTCCTAAATGGACCGGGCCTCCAAGACAGATCTCCTGGCCCATCCCCCGCATGCACTCACCCCCGCACAGCCCGTTTGTGCCTGTGCGCATGCTCCAGTATGCCCGTGCGAGCGCTGTGCTGTCATTTGCGCATGCGCAGGAGCACACCTGTGTGAGTGCCGCTGTTTGCGCATGCGCACGAGCATGAGGGGGGGTGCCCTGCCTTCCCCAGCTGGTCCGCAGACCGAAAAATGTTGGGGACTGCTGGTCTACAGAATACATTTTTCTGCTCACTACCATTCAATTTGTTGAAAAACAGTCCTGATAATTGATTTGTTGAGGTGAGAAGTGGTTAACTGATGAAAAAAGAGCCAGTTTTTTCCCTTGCATGGTGTCACTTTGTGAATGGTAGGCGACTTGTTCAAAACCTTGACATCAGCCTGTGAACTATCTCAGGTTCCATGATCCCCATACTATTTCATATATACGTGAAAAACCTGAAAGAGGCTCTCCAGAATTTTATGGTCTGGTACCACTGGTGTGCTGATGACACCTAACTCCATCTGGTTTTTAAGATCTTCCAGGAGGCCCTTCTCTCAGACCCCAGTATGTGGTTACCCAGCTCTCCAGTCGCTGCCAATTCACCCTTGAATCTACCTTACTCTCTTAGTTCAAATTCTACTTGTAAAAATAACTTTATAGTTATTATGTGTTTCTCTTTCATCTATTTAAATATCTAGTGTTAAAAATGATAGCATTCTTGAATGAACAGCAAATCAAGGAGTTAAAACTTTTTCCTTAGCCTTGAACAAATGAGTTCTCAATGCAGAAGACTGAACTCCTTTCAATGAGGTTAGTGCAGAAGGTTAGGGAAATGTTTTTCCAGCTACAGGGCATTGTTATCCAGCTTCTAGGCATGTCAGAAAGAGTACAGTGTTGTAAATATCAACCTACTCACAAGCCTGTAAAGGGTCATTTTAAAGAAATAGTACATACCCATTACCATAGATATCAGATCAGTAAACAGAATCTCATAAATTCTTGACATACAGCACATGTTACAAGTCACATGTTCACTGGGAAGAAGTTGTAGATATGAAAGAAAGATGAATGGTATCTTCTTATGGATATACTTGAGAAACACAACATTTCTAATTCTTTGGATGTGGTTTACAACAAGCCAGGCAACTTCTAAGGGGCTGGGAACCCTTGGTATCCACTCCTGATGTTTGGTGGGCTGCACCACAGTCTCTCAATTTTTCACTTCTCCCAGAAACCTTGGGTGAACCATTTGCCATTTATGTCATGCACCCTGACTAGTTAGCAATAGGAAGTGACAGGCTGGTCCAGTCTCTTTAAAAGGTTATCTCAGGATTAAATGAGGCCTGAAGGCAAAATAACATTTAATTGGCATGTTTCATCCCTTGTAGATACTAGGATGAAATTGGTGAGGAGGTAACACGTAACCACAAATTGGGGCCTGAGAGACTGAGAAAAGGGCCTCCTGGAAGATCTTAAAAAGCAGATGGAGTTGGGGGTCATCAGCACACTGGTGGTACCAGGCCACAACATTCTGGAGAGCCTCTTTCAGATTTTTCTAATCGAAAAGTTCCAAGCACGATGGTGGTAAAATGGAACAGAGGGCTGAGGTGGCTGGAGCATGTGTGATAGGGGCAACTCTAAACTTTGTTACTTTTTCAGAAAAGCTCTAGAAGATTCGGAGAAGACCAGTGCAGGCGCTGTTAAACCCATTTGTTTGCATTCACAGAGGCCACAAAGAAGAACCCTGAGATACTTCACAGGCTAATGATCAAGGTGCTGAACAGGAGTTCCCCAGCATTGCTACCATTCACAAAGTGAAACCACACAAGAAAAAATCCCATAAGCTAACTTCTTTCTCCATCAGTTAACCACTTCTCACCCAAACACAAAGCCTGTCAGGGCTGTTTTTCCACAAACATGAATGGTAGTGAGCAGAAAAAGGTATCCTGTAGACCATCTTGATTGCTGCCATTGGTGTTGTCAACATTCAGGCTGCCCTTTGCTATGTAAAGTTTGGCATCCTTTTTCCTGCTGGCAACACGGCATGACACTGTGCACCACTAGGGACATTTCCTGGCTTTTTAAATTGCGGGCACAGATGTACAATACCCCACATTTATAAACCAGTTGTTTTTAGAAGAACTGAATTTCCTGACTTTTAAAAATGTGAGTTCAAATATACATATCCTACATACAAATTCAATCAAAAATTTCCCTCATGTAGACTTACCCAGTGGTAGAAGATTCCAGACAATGAGCATATGACAATGAGCATACTATGGTTACTGGGAGAAGACAGAAATGAGAACAGCTTGGATGTGGCTGTAATCCCAACATATTTTGAAGGGCTGTTTTAGACTTAATGAAATGGGGTAGCACAAGTGTGAGCTGGTACAACACATACAATAGATACACTCTTTAGCCTCTTGATTAGACTAATGTCACTCTGCCTGCTCTGCCAAATGCAGACTTGAAAGCTATGCTCCAATTCCTAATCCCTTTCTTTCAGTTAGGCAAGCTAAGGAAGAAAAATACATTGGACTGAAAACTCTACAGACATGTTGTGTGCTCCCCCCCATTAATATGTCAGTTTGCTTTTTGAAATAAGAAAAAGGAAAATATTGGATTTAACAGAGTGTCCCTGAAAACCAAGG